TCATGGATTGGGTAACAAGAGACCCGCATGACCCTAGTCTCAAAACATCGCTAAGGGGGCCTACATGGGACCCTGACTATGGCATGTCGTCGCTGGACCATAGTCGAGGGACTCTGACTATAGAATCCTATCGCAAGCTTCCCACTACTTTTGATCAAGTTGTATTCCATATCCATTAATTTTGGCACACATGTACCAATATTTTTTCATTCTTGGACTATATCATTTTACCATAGAAAGATATCTGAGGATGCAATATGATAGGAGCCCACATGATGGTTTGAGCACGTGCTTGGCATGGCAATATAGTGGGTCCTGTAAGAAATTTTAATGATTCGTATATGAAATTTAGAATACATAAATTACAAGGTTTAGAGCATATCTGTATGAGTTATGATACTCGATCTCCAAATTTCTTTCTTGAAAGTGTAATGTCTTCCTCTCCTTCTTGAAAGCAATAGACGGCTTTCAATGGGACAAGTCAATTTAGGATTATAAAGTGGAGAGGGGATCTAGCCTGCTATTTATAATGAAATATAATGGGTTCTTCCATTACGAGCCACAATTAGATTAAGACCTACACTTAACCGCTTCAACTACATCAATTAAAAGATGTACATAAGCCTATCAAAATAGATTACTTAATAATATTGAGCTCATCTCATTGGACTATAAATTCAGCCTATTTTTCATAAACTAAAATTAACTATCAATTAATGGTAGTCCAATATAGGAAAAAATTCGAACATTCTCCCACTTGGACAACATTAATTGTAGTCATTTAGAAATAAAATAAAATTATATATATATATATATATATTTTTTTTTTTTTTTGAAAACGACCATGGGCTAATCAAACAAAACTCAATGTGGTCACAATAAAAAATAATATGGTTCTGAGACAATATCTGAAACACAATCCGGTCCAATAAAATTTCTATTTTCAAACCATGATGGTCTTTACATCATATATTAACATAGGACCAATCCATAATTGTGTAACAAGAAAATAACATCTCAATGTGTGATCTGATAAACATGTTATTTTCATTGTCAGTCCTCCAAATGATTTCTCTTTAACAACATGCTTCAACAATAAACTAGAGAAATCAATTAGCTTTAACAATAAGCTAGTATGTCTCCAAACTTAAAATCACAAGATTTTCTTAAATGGTGTAATCAGAGACATACTCAATTGACAAAATAGTCGTACTTAAGACATGCACCAAGCCTTAAGATTTTGTATAAAATGACATGTTATAAATGTGTACACGTATAACATAGTAAGAATATCATGCTAACAATAAGCATAATCATCAAATATTTATAATTCATCAAATAGATGTATTTCAACCATAATAAGTATCAAATATCACATATGAAATTAAATTAACACTACAGTTCTTAACACATAAAAAAAAACTTCCACTAACCAAGTACATCAAAAGACTACAAAATATGCATGTTGTCAACATGTTTCTTAAAAGTTACAGGTCTCATTTTCTTAGTTAAAAGATCGACCAGTATTGATTCTGTATCAAAATGTTCAATCACAATGTCACCTTTCTTCACAAGATCTCTAACAGAAAGATATTTAATTTTCATATGTTTAGACCCACTAAAATGTTTGTTATTCTTTGAGAAGAACACAACTGCACTATTATCACAATAAATTGTTAGTGGTCTAGAGATGAAATCAACAATTATAAATCCTGAAATAAAATTCTTTAATCATATAGCTTGTGTTGCAGCTCCATAACAAGCTGCAAATTGAGCTTGCATAATGGAAGAAACTGTGAGAGTTTGTATAACACTCTTTTATGATATTGCTCCTCCAACTAACATGAAAAACATATCCTAAAGTGGATTTTAAATCATCCTGACTTCCAGCAAAATCTGAATCTGAGTAACCAATCACTTCAAGACTATCAACTCTCCTATAAACAAGTATATAATTTTTTGTTCTTTGCAAGTATCTCATAACTTTCTTAGCTGCCACCCAATGATCTAATACCGATTTGAAAATAAATCTGTCAAGAACACTAACTGCAAAAACAATGTCAGACCTACTACAAACTTGTACATACATTAAATTGTCAACAACACTCCCATAAAATATACTCTTCATAGACTCCTCCTCGAGATCATTCTTGGGGCATTGACTTAAACTGAATTTATCACCTTTCACAACCGATNTATGATGCTCCACCAATTCTTCCGTCAGATCCAAGTAGAAACAATAACCTGACTTGAACAGTGGAGAGTCTTAGATTGACACCACATTGGTATCCCTAAGTTCTGTTACTTAATTACTTCACTTGTATCGTGTGGGATCATGTCATGCCATAGTCATACTGCCACTTTTATTGTGATCTAGATTTTGGTAATAAACAAAACTCAATCATAAGGTGAAGAAAAAAATTGATGAACAATTTTTCTCAACTTGCCAATTATTAGAACATCACCCCAAAAATATTGCCAGTAAGAGCAGCGTTTGGAATATTGACTGAAAATAATTTTTGTCCCAAAAGCATCATTTGACCAATTCTTATCCCTTAGTTTAAACAATATTTTATGAGTTTTACTGCTGAATCATATTCAAAAAAGCATGATAAGATTAAAAGTATGACTGCAGAAGCCAAAAAAAAAATTTCCATGCTCCAGAGCATTGTGTTTTTTCCTCACAATTTGGATCCAAGTACAACTTATATTGCAAATTCTAATTATTGTTTTTATAGATGGGATTGAGATTAAATGTTTTAAAGTAGTTAGGGATGGCAGTGGACTGGAAAAAAATGGATATTCGTCTAAACCTATTCCGTTTAGACTGGAGATGGACGAAATATATTGGACGGTGGTTGTATACGAGAATACTCGTATAAACCTGCACGGGTATGAAGCAAAGGATGGATTGACACTCCGGCCCCCCCACCCCCACTCACCTGTGATAAACCCCAATCTCACTTCCACCTACCTATAAAATTAATTTCAAAATTCAGTGATCCACTTTTTCTTCTTTATTCAATAATATATATTATCTTTGTATTCTTTTTAATCGCTTTTGTTATATCTATGATCCTTTTTGTTAGATTTGTGATGGGTTTTGCTAGATCTAAGGGTCTTTGTTGTGTTAGTTATTAAAGATTTTTGTTTCGGATCTATGAGGTGTTAGATACAAGGTTTTTAGATATTGCTTGTTCTGATTTTTTTTTTTTTTTAAATCTGTAATTTTCATTTGCTACATCTGATTTTCTATGTTAGATATGAAATATCTGAATTTTCTAATTTTGTGCAACTTGAATGTGGTCTTTGTTGAATTTTGATTATAGTGTTAGATATGATTTTTACTGATTTGAGTTTATTTTACCTAAATATGATTTTTGCTATTTGAAAATTGTTGAATAGACTTTTTCCTTGAAAAGTGCTAGATAGACTTCTTGCCTACATAGTATATCAAATGCTAGTTTTTATTGATGAGAATAATTATGTGGTAATTTTCAGTTGGTGACATGCAATTTTATTTTTTTTGATTATTTGCAACGTTGGATTATGTTAGGCTTGGGCCAGGAAATTAAGGCCGAAACAGTGATTAAAAATTTACCCGTGAACGGAAATAGAGATAAAAACTATACCTGTTTACGGAGGTGGATCAAAGATGAACAAATTTTTTTTAAGTAAGTACAGAGACGAAGACTACATCCCGCCTCCATTTTGATCCACTTCCATCCTAAAGATAGTGCTCTGAGTGGTTGGTACGAGGACAAAAGATAAGAATTAATGAAGCATCATGACATCTCTTAAGACTCCCACTCAAACCATAAATAATTGTGACATTGTCTTTTTCCTCTCTTTTTGCTTCGATGATAGGGCAGCTTATCTTTGAATTCTGCTGCACTAAATTAAATCAGCATTAGACATTAGTGTCTCACGCTTGGTAATGGTCAACAAAATTTTATTTCTTTTCCACTGAAAAAACCGAAATGTTTACATTTTCATAGATACTTTCACAAATCAACAATTGAATAGTAAAATTCATATGTTTTTGGGTGTCTGAGAATGTTTCAAGATGTTTCGGTAAGTTTTGACCAATATTCTAGAATTTTTGAAAAACAAATTTTCAAATTGTTTCTTTGTTTTTATTATGTTGTTTAAATATTTCTGAAATATTTTCTAAATATTTCCATTTCTGATTCGATCGAAATTATGCACCAAAATAAAATATTGACCATAATTAAGAAAACACATGAAACTAAAACAAACCTTAACAGGTATAGGATGAAAAAATTTGGAGTTATGGCTTTATATCCCTAATTCAACTCTTGCAAGAGAGCACTGGTTTATATATACAATGCATGTTGTTGAGATTGCTATCTAAAAAACGCTAGTGAGGTTAGTGAGCGCCCCAAACTTGATGCTCATCGTGGGAACTATGAAACAAAATCCAACTTTTGGTGGATGTTTATTTAATTGATGAAACATGGTGGCTTCCACATGGGATTCCATTCAATCAATGGTCCACTGTGTCAACATTTTTCTAATTTTATTTTTATTTTTTTTCTTTTTAGTATGTGTCAGTGAATGCGTCTCTGACGGGTCTTGCGTGGTACTTGGAATAAGTGCTTTTCATTTTCTTGTAGAAAAAATTATACTTTGACCCCTCAACTGTGTCTCACATATCACATTATTCCCTTAATTATCATGTTTGTCATATCGTACCTCCAATTAAAGTTAGTATTTTCATATTTCCCGTCCAAATTATAGTAGACATTTTATCTAAGGCAATGTGAAACAAACTCAAGTAGTTCAAGGGATTATGTAAAAAAGTAAAGAGTTCATGGGGCAAAGTGAGATAAGAGCCGAAGTTAAGGGTGAAGTATATATATAAGACAAATCTAAAACAAATCTTCAACTTCTAATTATAATAGTACTTCATGTTAGTGTCCTTTGCTTAACAAGAAACAACGCTCAAGCAAAAACATATTTGCCTTCAACATTTGTCGCCTTGGTCCTCTGATTGGCATGCCCAGATCTTTGGACTGGCTGCATTATCAGTGGGTTTGGCTTTTAAATTTTTTATTATAGCATTATGACTCTTTTGTGATATGTCGCCTCAGCTGAGTTAGCAATAACAGTACTCTTTAGTTCCTATTATACATATTTTATAATGCTTCTTAGATTTTACTAGAAAATTCCTACGAAACCCATTTGTTTGAAACATATCATTATTCTTTGAAGGGTCATTTTCTGTACTTGCCATTACTTTGGCTTTCGTATTCAAATTCACTAGCATAATTCAATCAAATTGCTTGGTTATGCAGCTGCCCAATTTATAATGGGAGGTAAGAAACTAGTGGAAGAGACTAATATGAAGCTTATATACATTTATACTATTTAAACACCACATTTCTGGTGGGTACACATCCCAACCCTAGTAAATATGCATGACACGGTAAACAAAACAAAATTAGCTATCACCCCTCTATAATTAGGTTTGATAATTACGTATCAAACCTTCAGGCTCTAGTGGGGCAATCCTTATCAAGCTTTCCAGCGGTGGCGGCGGCGGTGGTGGCTCTGACGTACTAGCCTGGCTACATCCCACAATCTTTTGGCATGTCTCCAGCAGACAGTGCCTGCAAGTAGGGCACGAGGAGTGTGTGTTGAGCCATCTATCGATGCACCGGACGTGAAAGCCATGGTTGCACTTGGGCAGGATTCGAACATGGTCACCTGAAGAAAATTCCGATAAACATATCACACACATAGTGTCCAAGCTCGGAAGCTTCATCTCTCCTGGATAGCTTATCACTTTAAAAGTTTTCAGGGCCTTTTTCTTGATCCCAGAGTTGGCTAAACGGCCCGTGGACCTTTCACCGGGATGGCTCGATAGCGAACCCGAACACCTTAATGCACACCTGATGATAGAATTCAACCCCAGTGAGCAAATCAAGGCACATAAGAGAACAGAGAGCACCATTACAACGTTGGCATCAAAACTGTTGTCTTTAGTAGAAGGATCTGATATGGTGTGGTTATTTCCACTTGATGGAGGAGTTGCTCTTGGTGGTAAGTGGTTTAGAGGATTGTTTAGAAGCAATCTTCTTGAGTAGAAGTGTGCATGAAATTGTTGAAAGAGCTGAGTTGAAGAGGAGGAAGACGAAGAAGCATGCATTTTTTGAGAAAGAGAGAGAGAGAGAGAGAGAGAGAGAGAGAGAGAGAATTGATTTTGATTGAGGTCCTTGGGAGGTGGTTGCATACAGGGAATATATAGAGGGAAACGCTAAAAGGGTTGATTTTACTTTGGGGTTTTAATAAGGACCAATTTTGACTAAATTTTAAAATTAAATTAGAAGTTCAAATAATATGACAGTTAATATCGACATTTTTATTTAGTATCATGTCATTTAGGTCCTAATAAAAACTCCTAATAATATACTGTCATGTCATTTGAGTTCTTAATTTAATCCAAAAATTTAATCAACATAGAATTACTCATAAAACTAATAATACAATATTAGAATATTCCGTGGTTTTAAGCCATCACGAGGATTCTAACCATTTAATTGTTCAATTAATATCTCACCAAGTGGGATCTTCCGTCATGCCTTTTTTAGTTTAATGGCCTTTCCAACCAAAATAGGCCCACCCCACTTTTAGCGCAGCATAAAATGCCACGCGGCAATATCCTCCATGAACCATATCATGTTTGCTTCTTGGGTCCTACTTACTCAAGAAGAGGTGAGGAAGCTTCCCAATCTAAGATCACAAGGAGGAATATATTTATGTGGGTTTGGTTTTTTTTTTTTTTGGAACCTTTGTTGTAGTGCCCCTTATTTTCATTTCTAACTGAAATGTTGTCTTTGCCTTGATATTTAGTATTTTATTGTTAACATAGTTTCAATATTATGTGAACTACAAGTCAAAATTGCTCATGTCGGTTTTAAAGTTTCTTTTTGTTTTTTTGGGGATTAGTTTTCTTCTATCTAGTCCATAGACTTGGCATTTTCTTCAAACCCTCCTACCACCTTGGGTATTACTATAAATGTTTCTTCTTAAGAGGATAGAAAATGATTAATAGAGGAAGATTATACATGCGTGACCTCGTTACATGGCAAATCAATATACAATTGACATGTGTCTCAAATATTAATTAAATTGGCAAAACTTCCCTCGGATGTAGCCTGCAGCTCAATTTTCAACATAATCATCTCGATACTCGATGCAAAATAGTCATGGATTGGGTAACAAGAGACCCGCATGACCCTAGTCTCAAAACATCGCTAAGGGGGCCTACATGGGACCCTGACTATGGCATGTCGTCGCTGGACCATAGTCGAGGGACTCTGACTATAGAATCCTATCGCAAGCTTCCCACTACTTTTGATCAAGTTGTATTCCATATCCATTAATTTTGGCACACATGTACCAATATTTTTTCATTCTTGGACTATATCATTTTACCATAGAAAGANCAGACGAGAAGTCTGTTTGAGATCATAGATAAACTTTTTCAACTTGCACACTAAATGTTCTTTCTCATTCTCCTTAAAACCTTTAAGTTGCATCATATAAACTTTTTCACTAAGCTCAATATTCAGGAAAACTATTTTCACATCCATCTGGTGAAGTTCTAGATCAAAATGAACAACTAATGTCATAATAATCCTGAAAGAATCTTTAGTAGAGATGGGTGAGAAAGTTTCATTAAAATCTTTACCTTCCTTCTGGCTATTNTGCTGGTTTGGTCGGTTTCGCTGGGCAGCTGATGGCCAGGGTGGTTTTGGCGGTGGCTGGTTTTGCTTAAAGGCAGTTTGCCGGTGAGGCAGTCTCGGTGGAGGCTAAGGTTGGGGAGAAGGTTAGGGTTTGGGGTAGGGTTAGTGTATGGNATCTTAGTTTTAAACACCTATTTGCAAGCAAGGGATTTACATTCCTCAGCAAGTTCCACAAGCTCTCATACTTCATTGTGTGCCATAGAATGCATCACAACTTTCATGGCACCTACCCACCTATCAAACTGAGGATAAGTAATAGCATCATGGTATGTTACAGGATCAACAATATCACCAATATCATAATCACTTTTCTCAAGAAATACATAATATTCATCAGAAATAATAGGTATCCTTGGTCTTATAGACCTTCTCANGAGCTAATTAGACAATACAAAAAAAATAAAAATTAAAATGTGTACTTATTGACAATTATTTGATAAAAAAAAAAATTAATAGAATATAAATCCAGGTGTAGTACTTAAAGTTAATTAAATTCTAAAAAAAATACCTAGAGCCAAGTATCAGTACTTAATATTAGAAGAATGACATAGAGCTGAAAAGCCCATTTCCAGCAGATCTAAACTAACACTCATGGCCCATGGACAGCAATGAGAAACCATGCCCAGCAAATTCTAAAANGCTCATGCACACTAATAGGCTGTGAGCAACCAATATCTGCAATATCAGGCTCTAGAATTTTTGTTGTTAAGGACTCAACAATTTTAGTATCACGTGTAAGGCAATAGAACCGATGTCCTTTAGAATGTTCTGGGTAACCTATGAAGAAACAACAAGTAGTTCTAGAATTAGTTTTTTTCTCAAAAGATTTATAGATTTTGACTTCAATAGGATAACTCTAGACTAAAAAATGGTTAAGGTTTGGTTTCCTATTGGTCCATAATTCAAAAGGTATTTTTGGAATAGATTTGTTAGGAACTTTATTAAGAATGTAAGAAGCCATTTTAATGGCTTCTCCCCAAAGATAATCCGGTAACTTACACCTACTCATCATACTCCTCATTATGTCTTTAAGGGTGCGATTATGCCTTTCAATCACACCATTTTGCTTGGAACTACCAGGCATGGTATATTAGGCAACAATTCCACAATCTTTCAAGTATTTGACAAACGGTTGTAAATGGTGCCTAGACACGTCATGTTTGACATAATACTCACCACCACGGTTAGACCTAACAATTTTGATGACTTTTCTAATTGTTTTTCTACTTTAGTCTTGAAAATTTTAAACTTTTCAAGAGCATCATATTTTTTTATTAATTAAATAAATATATCCATAACGAGAGAAATCATCAATAAATATAATAAAATATTTATTACCACATAATGTACGTGAATAAGGTCTACTGATGTCAGTATGAATGATTTCTAAAAGATCTAGACTATGAGTTGCACTTTTCTTCTTAGTTTTGGTCAATTTACCCCGAATAAAGTCAACACAAGTTTCAAGGTCTCCAAAATCAAAGGGAGGAAGAATATCAGTCTTTATTAATCTTTCCACTATTTCTCTAGAAATGTGACCCAAACGTTTATACCATAACTATGAAGATTTTTCTTTAATGAAAGGTCTCTTAGATATGACATTCACAATATTTGAAAGATTATATTTATTATTGACAGCCAAACATATACTATATAGACCATCTGATAAAACACAATGACCAATAATTTTGAAATTTAAAGACAATTGAGTTTTACCATTACTAAAATTAAACAATATCTAATTTTATCAAAGAAATTGAAATCAAATTCTGCCTAAATGACGGTGCATAAAAAATATTTTCTATAACAAGTCAAAAATCAGTGTGTAAACTCAAATTGACAGTTCCTATAAACTCAACATAGACTTCATTATTATCTCCTATTTTAAACTTGGCTTCCCCTTCACTTGGCCTCTGTTTGCTTGTAAATCCCTGCAAAGTCATGGAAACATNTTATGACTGCAGAAGCCAAAAAAAAACTTTCCATGCTCCAGAGCATTGTGTTTTTTCCTCACAATTTGGATCCAAGTACAACTTATATTGCAAATTCTAATTATTGTTTTTATAGATGGGATTGAGATTAAATGTTTTAAAGTAGTTAGGGATGGCAGTGGACTGGAAAAAAATGGATATTCGTCTAAACCTATTCCGTTTAGACTGGAGAAGGACGAAATATATTGGACGGTGGTTGTATACGAGAATACTCGTATAAACCTGCACGGGTATGAAGCAAAGGATGGATTGACACTCCGGCCCCCCCACCCCCACTCACCTGTGATAAACCCCAATCTCACTTCCACCTACCTATAAAATTAATTTCAAAATTCAGTGATCCACTTTTTCTTCTTTATTCAATAATATATATTATCTTTGTATTCTTTTTAATCGCTTTTGNCCAATATCATGTTTTTTGAAATCTTGACTATTCTTTGGAGCATTATAATTAGGTTTTCTATTATTTTCATGATACCCACATTTGAAATTAGATTTAGGCTGAGAAACAAACAAGACAATTTCACTATTTTCTTTGCTAATTTTTTTCTTCCTCAGAATCATACATGGAGATAAGGTCATTTATTGTCTTGGACTCATTTTGGGTATTGTAGGTAATTTTGATTTGGCTAAACTCAAGAGGCAAAGAATTAAGAGTGTGATGAGCAATAAANGATTTTTTTTTTTTTTTAAATCTGTAATTTTCATTTGCTACATCTGATTTTCTATGTTAGATATGAAATATCTGAATTTTCTAATTTTGTGCAACTTGAATGTGGTCTTTGTTGAATTTTGATTATAGTGTTAGATATGATTTTTACTGATTTGAGTTTATTTTACCTAAATATGATTTTTGCTATTTGAAAATTGTTGAATAGACTTTTTCCTTGAAAAGTGCTAGATAGACTTCTTGCNCATGGGATTCCATTCAATCAATGGTACACTGTGTCAACATTTTTCTAATTTTATTTTTATTTTTTTTCTTTTTAGTATGTGTCAGTGAATGCGTCTCTGACGGGTCATGCGTGGTACCTGGAATAAGTGCTTTTCATTTTCTTGTAGAAAAAATTATACTTTGACCCCTCAACTGNATTTCATCAGGAAAACTCTCACTGGTTTAGCAGGTTTATTCTCTTTCAAAGCAAAGTCTATATCAACAATTCTTAAGGCAAACTCAATATCTTGTTTCCATCTCTTATAATTAGANGGCTTGGGCCAGGAAATTAAGGCCGAAACAGTGATTAAAAATTTACCCGTGAACGGAAATAGAGATAAAAACTATACCTGTTTACGGAGGTGGATCAAAGATGAACAAATTTTTTTTAAGTAAGTACAGAGACGAAGACTACATCCCGCCTCCATTTTGATCCACTTCCATCCTAAAGATAGTGCTCTGAGTGGTTGGTACGAGGACAAAAGATAAGAAT